GGACAGCCTCTCTGCTCCTATGATGCTGCTTGGCCTGCTGTGTTCATCCAGCCCTGCACCTTGTTGTCTCGGACTATAACTTGGTGTTGTGTGACTTCTGACTCAGTGGTATTGGTTGAGGCTTAATATGGGGCAGGGCTACAGGGAGCACCCCCTCTGGTTCAAAATAATGTTGTAGAATATTTTAAGCCTACAACCACGTTTTACTCTAACATCTAACAACGCAACATCTCCCTAGAACAGCGCTGGGAGCTCTGGCATGGACTTTGGTTTATACAACAGGATGGGGACTCACTACCTTCTGGCTTGGAAGCCCAAATGCTACCCACTGAGACATGGCTCATACCCAGACAACCTGTCAGAGCCTTCCACCTCATTCCAAATGCCAATCCTGCAAGAGATGTGCGACACATGGGATCAGTGACACCTCCTATTACCACAGGAGGTGCCTTATCACCTTGTGTTGAATCAAACACTCCTGCTGCTGATGACTGTCAAAGAAAGTGTTTGAAAAAATAATTTTTAGCACACTTGCAGTGAGTGCTGCAAACATTGTCATTTTAAAGCATTTTTTCCCATTGACTCTGTGCCCCAGGACTAAGTGGATCTTGAAATTATTATAAGCATTGCATGCCTAATGGTTGTGCAATTTATATTCTGCTTCAACTTTCTGATATTCACCATCAGACATTGCTATTTCAACTGCTCCATAACTGTATTCTGATTAAGGATGCATTCAACAAAAATTATGTCTGCATTTGATGATTGCAGTGCACTAATGAGATCATTTACATACAACCCCACTTCTCTTAGAGCTCTCTTATTTCTCTCTTGTTTGGTCCTTTTGCCCTTTATTGATATTTTTTGTGTGTGCAGTTTCACTTTGCCAGCTCCTCATCCTATGCTTTGCCTCTGCTCCCTATCATACCTTCCTTTCTCTCTGTCTCGCTCTCATTGGCCCTGCAGAGTACAGGTTTCCTCTTGCTGTCTCATTGTCCTCTCACTGTCCCAAGACAGAATACAGGCAGAAGGAGCTATACACCCACAGTGAATTGCTGTTGCCTGTTTCCACTTTGGCTATTGGGCTTGTCTCTGACAAATTGGCACTTGACACAAAACCTGGGAGTGCTGCAGTGCAGGCAGAAGCCATTCACTCCATTGCATCAATACTTGCTCTTTGATGGAATGATACAATTTGTCTTAATCCAAAAAACCATTAGATATCGGAACAGAGTTGGCTAATCCGCCCCTCCCTTGATCTTTACTCATAGATCTGCAAATATCCCCCCTTCGAGTATTTATCCAGGTCTCTTTCTAGCATTTCCCATGAAACTGCTGTAGCCACTGTTTCAGGCAGCATGTTCCAGATCACAGCAACTTAAAAATTAATTCTCCCAATCCATTTTACTTTTGCTAATATACTCTAAAAAACAACTTTAAGAAAGGCAGAGCAGGAGCAGGCCATTCAGCCCTTCGCATCTGCTGCACCATTCAATATGATCATGGCTGACCATCCATCTGAGTCCCCTGTTCCCACTTTGTCCCCTTATCCTTTGATGCCCTTAGCTCCATACACAATATCCAACTGCTTCTTGTAAACATTCAATGTTTTGTCCTCAACTTCTTTCTGTAGCAGAGAATTCTGCATACCCAGCACAGGGACAGCATGGGGTTAGTAAAACTCTGCACTGTCCCCATCAAACACTCCCAGGACAGGGACAGCACGGGGTTAGATCCAGAGTAAAGCTTCTGAGACAGAGAATTCCACAGGCTCCCCACTCTCTGGGTGAAGACTCAGTCCTAAGTGGATGGCCCTATATCTTTAGACTGTGACCCCCTGGTTCTGGAACCTTTAAGAGCAGCCACCTGGCCCTATTATACCAATTCGCTTTTCCTGACGAAGGTGTGAATCTTTCTCGAGTTGCACGTTTAATTCTTTACCTTAACTCCAACTCCTCACTTGGTTCGAGCATGTCAGTATGCTTGTCATCCTTCTCAACTGTGTCACTCTGGGAATGTACCAACCTTGTGAAGACGTGGACTGCTCCAGTGACAGATGTAGGATTTTACAGGTAGGAAATCTCAGTCTCCTTCCTTTTGACCTCTTTATCAATTAGAATGCATGCATACTTAAAGAGCAGCCCCTCTGCCAGCCCTCTAACTCTTGTACTCAAGTTTCCTAACCTTGGACGCATTGCTTTTGAAGGGAATGCAGAGTAAAGTTTATCAGAAACCTAAACAAAATCCAAATAGACACTGAAAATGCATAGGAGAGGGAAGCAGAGTTAATGTTTTGAGCCCAATATCTCTCTTCTTCAGACCTAATTGTAGCTGTGTTCTTATCAGATTTCAACTCATATTGTTCTCACTGCAAACAAAGACTGAGGTTGTAAGAAACTGTGCATGAAATTATTGTTGCCTGGAATAACAAGTACTCAACAACACCTTGAGTTGATATAGCAGATTCTACATTCCAAAATGTTTCACAGGATCATTATCAAACAGAGTTGATGCTGCACCATATAGGAAGTCACTAGGACAGGTAACCAAAGACACAATGAAAGATGTAGATCCTTCACAGAGAGACAAAGGGACCTAGCAAAGGAATCCTGGAGCTAAGGGCTCCAGGCAGCTGTAGGCACAGCCAAAATGCTGGAAATCGGTAAGGGAAAGGGCACACAAAAGACCAGAATTGGAGGAGTAGGGAGGCATAAGAGGGTTGTGGAGGCTAAAGGGATTATAGAGATAGGGAAGGTTAGACAAGTTGAGATTAGCTTGACCCAGTACAAAGTATGATCCCAGGTCAAATTAAAGCAACTTGTCACTTTCCAGGCTTTCGACGATTTCATCTTTATTTTCTTCGCCATGGAGATGGTGGTCAAGATGGTTGCCTTGGGGATCATTGGGAAAAAGTGTTACCTTGGCGACACATGGAATCGATTGGATTTTTTCATCGTGATGTCTGGGTAAGTGAGAGGTGAGCTGAAGTAATCTCAGCTCGTAACGTTAAGAGAAAGATTCAAATTACCATTTTTATGAACAAGGCAATTATTTCTTACGAGCTGTTGACAGTCGAAAGAGTAAATTTAAAATTAAATGTAGCTTCATTCTAAGCCTTTCATTTTCGCCTTCCCTCTCTTCTGTTTTCGTGTTGAAGCTGTAATATCTGTTAAAATATATTAATTTAATTCCTGAGGATTTTTGATCAAACCATGCTTGAAAGTCATTGGATAAGAAGCATGACTGTGAAATGTACTGTCTGAGAGATTATCTCACTACCACATGCTGTTCATCCATATTTCACATTTTTATTAAAGTTTGCTGTTCATTTCATTTCTGGATAGAAGGTTTTCACATTGAATACTCCCAGGACAGTTCCAGCATGGAGTTAGATACAAAGTAAAGCTACTCTGCGCTGTCTCCATCAAGTACTCCCAGGACAGGGACAGCATGGGGTTAGATAGAGAGCAAAGCTTCCTCTACACTATCCCCATTAAACACTCCCAGGACAAAGAAGCATGTGATTAGATACAGAGTAAACCTCTCTCTATGCTGTCCCCCAATCAAACACTCTCAGGACAGGGACTGCGTGGGGTTAGGTACAGAGTAAAGCTCTCTCTACACTGTCCCCCATCAAACACTCCCAGGACAGAGGGAGCATGGGGTTAGATACAGAGTAAGGCATAAGAGCTAGACAAAGTGGAAGGAATCAGGAAAATGGCAAATGAAGTAGAAAAATGGTGGAATATAGGCTAATTTACAATCAGTTCTTTAATAACAAGTTCAATCAGAGACAGTGTCACTACTCAGATGGGAGCAATGTGATGGAAACCAAGCCCCACTATTCAATAGCCATGTATTCGTCAGTGTGCAGTATGGCTAAGTTAATATCTGGAATCATTAATATCTGACTGTGACCACTCTCCATGATAAAAGAGACTCACACTAGGTGTCATTAATGAACAAGAAAATAAAATAAACTTATTTAATATAACAGACTTCTCCTTTAACAGGGGCTGTTGAGGCTCGGTCATTTCATATATTCAAGGCTGAGACAGACAGATTTTTAATGAGAAAGAGACACAAGGGTTATAGGGTAAAGACAAGAAAGTGGAATTGATGATTATCAGATCAGCCATTGAATGGCTGAGCAGTCTCAATGGGCTAAATAGCCTACTCTGCTCCTTTGTCTTATGGCCCACTATGTGCCAAAAACACATTAAATACAATTAATGATACTATTAATAACTAAAATAAAGCAGACATAAACCATTACCCCTTCAAATAAAAGCATTCATTTGCATACAGGATGGATGGACTGATAGACAAGGCAAATAGCCTTTTTAGAAATGTCATAGATTGAAAGTATATGCAAAAAAAAATCGAGACTGTGGACCAGAGGACAATTGAAAAGGGGAAATGGGGTGACTTTTCTCACAGCTTTGTGTTTTGGTTTTGTTTGACAATGATATTGTGCTGTTGTCAACTGCGGTGATCCTCAAATCAATGGCTGGTCATTTGGACCTAGGTCTTGACTTTAAAGGGAAATTATCTCTCCTTTTGCAAAGCCCTTGAGCATTTTTTTTTCCTTTCCAATTCAGTCGGAGCATGATTACACTTGCTGCTGGTTTTTTTGGGGATCTGACCCCCAACCTGCTTTCTCTCCTCTGAATTCAGCATCAAATTATTACTTTAAACCAAGCCAAATCCTGTTGCTAGGCACTTAGGTCCTTTTCCCCAAAAGCACTTGATTCCTGTAAAAGTGTCAAATCTACTTCCTGCAAAAGAAGACCATGTAGTTCCACCTTTCCAAGAGTTGTGAAGAAATGATTAATAGTTAAATGTCCTGTTTTCCAGCATATATTTCCAAAATACAAATTTTTTTCTTTATTCATTCACGGGGTAAGGGCATCGCTGCCTAGGCCAGCATTTATTGCTCATCCCAATTGCCCAGAGGGCAGTTGAGTGTCAACCACATTGCTGTGGGTCTGGAGTCACATGTAGGCCAGAGCAGGTAAGGATGGCAGTTTCCTTCCCTAAAGGACATTGGTGAGCCAGATGGGTTTTGCTGACAATTGATTCATGGTCATCATTAGATTGTTAATTCCAGATATTTATTGAATTCAAATTCCACCATCTGCTATTGCGGGATTTGAACCTGGGTCCCCAGAATGTTATCTGGGTCTCTGGATTAACAGTTCAGCAATAATACCACTAGGCAATCACCTCCCCACTATCTATTGACCTTACCACAGAAAACACAGTAAAAGAAGAGAGAGAAAAAGAATTTCAGCAAAGATTTGGTCAGATAGCGAGGCTCAGAGATGGCATAACACAACTGGACAGAAATAGCAAAAGCTGTTATGTATCATAATTGGTGTATGTTATGTTGGGACAGTTTCCCTGTAAGAGGTGAGTCATGTGATACTAGTGAGTCATCAGCCTGGTTTGTGAGCTTGTTCAGACTGGTTTTGAGTTTTTTAGAGGACACGTCTACAGAATAAGACCTCCTTGTTGCGCTGCAGACAATGATGAGTTCTTGTGTTCTTTAGTTCTGATTGGAGCCCAGTAACTGCACAGTTACATTTGGATCCATGTTGTCCTTTGGACCAGGTCTGACGACACACCATGAAAATTTTCAGATAATAAAAGTGACAGGTCAACGCGTTGACCCCTTGCTACCATCTTCCTTGAGCTGGATCAACACCAAAAGACACTGATGCGGGGTGGCGAAGGGTGGGGGGTGGAAGAGGAAGTAGGGGAGTTCCCTTCCTTGGGGATGACCTGGGAACTACATGTAGTGTTCATCTTATTTTACGTTCTTTGGACACCACTACAAGGCGCCCCCACCTTCCCCATGTTCTGCATTGGCACTGCCCACCTCTGGCCTCCTTCCAAGGTTGCAGACCCCTCTGTCTGGACAGTGAGCACAGAGGCCATCTCTGAGTATATCTCCCAGCTGGACATGTGTGGGCTTTGGATTCTTTACTCAAAGAAAGCAAAACAGGCTGGGAGAGATAGAGAGACAAATTTGCGATCTGTGAGATTACTGACAATGCTGTGCTAATACTGAGCAGATATTTTCCCTCAGTTGGCAGTAATGAACAGAGTTTCAGACCAAGAAGGTCTCCCATTTAAGACAGAGACAAAGAGAAATTTATTCTGTCAGTGGGGCATATGTGCTTAGGATTCTCTTCCCCAGAGAGCAGTGAGTGTTGGGTCATTGAATATCTTCAAGGCCAAATTACACAAGATTTTGCTTGACAAAGATTTCAAGAGTTAAGGTAACATCAAAGGAGCATTGGGTTTATTGGATGGTAAAGCAGGACTCAAGGGGCCAAATGGCCTTTTTCTCCTCATTTGTATGTTTGAGTGGAAAAGGAATGGATGAGGAATAGGGTAGGTGAAGACAAAGGTCATTGCATGTTTTCAGGAGAGTGTAGATGAACATACAAAGCGGGGGATACAGGAATTAATGTTTCATCTCAGTTAGAAAGGGAAGTTTGTAGACAACCCCCTTAACAACTGGACTCTGACAGAGCTCAATGAGATGATTGGTTTGGAGCAGACAGTTCAGAGACTGAAGATGCGGAGTTTTAGTAGCAGAGAATGAGATGGAGAATTTTGTAACATATAATGCTGGTTCAAGTCTTTAATAAAGTTAATCCTTCCAAAAGAATTTGCAAGCTTTACAGCACAGTGGTTGGTTATTGAATTCCTTGAGTCAGTGTAGGCTTTTTTTCAAATGAAAATAATCCTGAATTAATGCCAATGTGCCAGGCTCTCGGTGTAGCCCTGTGCTTTCTTCTAGCTCAAATGTTTACCCTTTAAAAGACGCAATAGTGTCTCCCTGTGATAAAACATTCCACACTCCAGAAACATTTTGCATAAAGAACTTTCTCCGTAACTCCTTCATCTGTCTTTCAACAAAGGAAATGAACTTTGTAATGCTTTCTCTCTGGGTCATAGTTTCTCTGGTTCTGAAGAGGCAAATGGCTGAGTTGCAGCCAATGTACGAGGTGTCTGGGAAGAGAGAGGGTAGCAGAAGGGGTACCAGCCAGGGTTTGTGATGTCCCTGGGGGACCTTCCACCTCCAGCTCACAACCCATTCCCGATCCCATACCAACCATAGCCCAACTTGTAAGCTGAGAACACAACCCAGGTTAACCACGAGCCATGCTCTTCAAAAACCTTGTGGCACTCTCTTTCAATGGAGGTCAGTATTAATGCCACCTCTCCAGAATTGCCTGTGAGTTTTCCCTAGCTAAAGAGTAAAAGCCTTAGAGAAAATATCACAGTATTTGTTAAAAGTTTTTTTTTAGTTGAGAGCTTGAGAACAGATACATCTGAAGCTGGCAGATTGGTAAGGATGAGGTCAAGTATGTTTTTCCCTCTTGTTGGTTCCCTCACCACCTGCCGCAGACCCAGTCTAGCAGCTATGTCCTTTAGGACCCGACCAGCTCGATCAGTAGTTCTGCTACCGAGTCAGTCTTGGTGGTGGACATTGAAATCCCCCACCCAGAGTACATTTTGTGCCCTTGCCATCCTCAGTGTTTCCTCCAAGTGTTGTTCAACATGGAGGAATATTGATTCATCAGCTGAGGGAGGACGGTACGTGGTAATCAGGTTTCCTTGCCCATGTTTAACCTGAAGCCATGAGATTTCATGGGGTCTGGAGTCAATGTTTAAAACTCAGAGAGTACTCCCTCCCGACTGTATCCCACTGTGCCATCCCCTCTGGTGGGTCTGTCCTGCCGGGGGAACAGGACATATCCAGGGATGGTGATGGTGGTATCTGGGACATTGCCTGTAAGGTATGATTCTGTGAGTATGACTGTGTCAGGCTGTTGTTTAACTAGTCTGTGAGACAGCTCTCCCAGTTTTGGCACTAACCCCCAGATGTTAGTGAGGAGGACATTGCAGCATCAACAGGGATGTTTCTGCCACTGTCTTTTCTGGTGCCTAG